AAAAAAAAAAAAAAAAAAAAAAAAAAAAACACCTCGGCGTTTAGGGAGTAAAAAAAGCTACAAGTAAGATTAAAACAATAATACAGGTATTAATTTTACCCACTCTCCTGACCAATTTGTATTACCTCCGGCAACTTTCAGATCCAAGTCCAAAGATCTTAGCTATAAACTCTAATCAGGCTCACATTTTAATCCCACGAACTATCAGATCTCAGCCGACTGGAACTTGGCTTTCATATTCTTTCACTAGATGTCTCCAAATACCAACTAAAAGGATCTTGTCCCTCTACAGAAGAAAGCCGCAAGGGCTCAAGCAAGGGAAAGGTGATAATGTTGGTAAATGTTAACAGGATCAAATCTGAATCAGGAAACTGGGAGCTTGGTGCCCTGGGTTCTCAGCTCAGTCACTTATTTGCCATGTGTCCTGGGGTGTCACCCGCCTCTTTCTGGGACCGTTTCTTTCTTTTCCTTTAATTTAAAAGGCGAGGAGTTAAGCCTTCGCGGCCCTTTAACGCTTCGTCCCGCTCTCATCTCAGGTGCCAACTTCCACACAAAGCCGCCGTTCTCGGCAGGACTCGCACATTAAGCTTTCCGGACGGCGCTTGGCGAGATATATGCAGAAATTTAGGTTCATGAAAGAAGCACAGTTCGTTAAAATCACGAAAAACTGCAGGGAGAGAGGAACCGAGACGTTAACAAAGCCAAAGCCACTCTGAGGAGTGACCGGATCGCACTCAACGTCCCATCTCCACAGCCCCAGGACCCGCCTCCCTCGCCCGAGCAGGCCCGGAAGTCACTGCGACAGGTAAGAGAACGGAACAGGAAGTCCCGCCCTCCTGGAACAGCGAACGGTAGCCCGTAAGGATCAGTCCTAGTCCAGCGTATTCACCGCGTGAATTGTCTCCTTGAGGGGGCGGGGGTCTACGACGCTTGAGCTCAAGCGGGCGAGGCGACTGAGCGGCGCCAGTCTTCGGCACAGCGCCCTTCTTTCTCGGTTGTTGGGCTGCGTGCCTCTCCTCCAGTCGGCGCCGAAGGGAGCCTGGTTCTGGGCGGGCGGAGAGGTGGGCTTGCTGGCGGGGCTGGCGGGGCGGGCCGGGGAGGGTATGGACCCCGGAGGTCGCTGACTTTCTGCGAGCCTCGGGCTCCTGTTCTGCAAGACGCAGCAGCACTCCGTGTCCTGCCTGGTGATTTTGCCCTTGTGCATTTATTTGTATAGTACTTTGGTTCGAACAGCAGCCTCGTAAAATGGGCACCGCTCCCCTGTTTCACCGATGGGGAAACAGGCTCGAGAAAATAAGTGAAGTGTCTTTTTATTTATTTTATTTTTTTTTATTTTTTTTTTTCTTGCGTTACGCGGGCCTCTCACTGCTGTGGCCTTTCCCATTTGCGGAGCACAGGCTCCGGACGCGCAGGCCCAGCGGCCATGGCCCACGGGCCCAGCCGCTCCGCGGCACGCGGGATCCTCCCGAAACGGGGCACGAACCCGCGTCTCCCGCATCGGCAGGCGGACTCTCAAGCACTGCGCCACCAGGGAAGCCCCATGTGAAGTGTCTTAAGTGACAGACCGTGTGAGAGCCGTAATTCTAACTCCGGCTTTTTTTTTTTTTTTTTTTTTTTTTGCGGTACGCGGGCCTCTCACTGCTGTGGCCTCTCCCGTTGCGGAGCACAGGCTCCGGACGCGCAGGCTCAGCGGCCATGGCTCACGGGCCCAGCCGCTCCGCGGCATGTGGGATCTTCCCGGACTGGGGCACGAACTCGCGTCCCCTGCATCGGCAGGCGGACCCCCAACCACTGCGCCACCCCCAACCACTGCGCCACCTTAAATCCGGCTTTCTGAGACCAAGCTGCCACTCCAGCAATGGAGCAAATTACATGGTGTAAGGGATAAGCGTCAAAAGCGAGTGCTCTTACGATACCGTTAATGTAATAGAACTGATTGGTTTCAGTCGCATCATTAAAATCTGGAGGCATAACTTTAAAAAAAGAGGGGTTTGGAGGGAACAACAGTATTTTTTCTTTGGCTTACCTTCTCTCGAATTACAAGTTCCTTGTTAATATCACATGTTTTGGTTGACAGCTTGAGCCCACTAGGAATGGCTGCCCCATCTATGAAAGAAAGGCAGGCTTGCTGGGGAGCCCGGGATGAGTACTGGAAGTGTTTAGATGAGAACACAGAGGACGCTTCTCAGTGCAAGAAGTTAAGAAGCTCATTTGAATCAAGCTGTCCCCAACAGTGGGTAAGTCACACTGGGACGTGTTTCTGTTTGCTGTCAAAATACATAGAGCTTACGGTGAGTGGTGGGCTATGAAATGAGGCACCGTTTGAGGCATGTCAAATGAGCGGTTTCCGTGAGCAGCAGAGAAAACCTTGTCTCGTAATCCAGGCTTGTTTTATGTACATAGCATTGGAAAATGTCACCTGACACTTTAAAGATGATTGAAAAGCAAAACATACGCACACTAACCAAAAAATTCCAACCTTCTAAATTGGTAGATTTCTCCTGGATCTTCTGAAGGGATAGTATTTAATCTTGGGCAAGAGTTGGCAAATTCATTGGCCTAGAGCTGCTATCAGAAATAAAGCATTCCCAGTTGCCTGCCCCAAATCATATGGTCATATACCCAAAATACAAATACAAAGGAGTTTAGAAAGTGGAAGAAACAAAATGATCATATGGTGGATTCTGCCACCAGCTGCTCCAAGTGCCTCGCCGACACGGGCTCTTGCTCTGTATTGCCAGTCCTTAGAATGGGAGGGGTTGGAAAAGGGAACTAACATAACTGGGCTCAGTAAGTGCTCCGGTGTGAGTGCCTGATGCTCCTTCATCACTACCCTTTGAGATGGGCGGTGTTGCCATCAATTTCCAGAGGAGGCAACTGAAGCCCAGAGCATTGAAATAACTTGCTTTCTCACTATTGGGGCTGGGGAATGGGATGCTCGGAATTGAGATTAGGGAAGGGCTCTGTTTGTTGGTAAGGACGAGGCCTAGACTTTGATCCTGGCAGTAAGGTAGGTTGGAGGACAAGATCACTGAAGAAAGAGACCAAGGACCTGAGAGGCCATGGTCTGGCAGGATCAACCACATGGATACTGAACCTCCCAAGAGTTATGACATGAACATTGTTAGAGAAACTGACAGTAACCTACAAAGTTATAGATTACACCAACAAAGAAGGGAGCAGTAGAGCAAAGCAATCAAAATAACTGCTGCCGCATCTGACAGTGAGAGCCATGCTCCCATGGAAAACCGTTGTCATCTGCAGACTATTCTTAGTCTGTAACTGAGCTCCCTTTCCCAGCCTGCGCCCTCAGGCCTTTGCTCCCTTTTCACCCGTGCTCTCTACTCAGGAGTCATACCCAGTGACCATAGAATAAAAGTGAAAGATATTTACAGAGATTTGTGTGAGAAGGTGGGGAAGGAGACAGAGGGAGAAGTGATGGGAGTATTCTCTGAGTGCATTCTGTGTGAGAAATTGTGTTTTCATTAGCTTTAATTTTCATTCAGTCTTGTGAGGTACTATTGTATCTCTTTTACGTACTAGAAACTAAGGCTCAGAAAGGTGAAATAATTTGTTCAAGATCGGCTAACCAGCAAAGTAGTAGAGAGGTGATTTGAAAGTAGGTCTCTCTGATTGCAAAGTTTGTATTCTTTTACTTAGCTGAAGCCACAGCCAGAGAATAAAGATAAAAATAAAACCACCAAATAGAGATTCACAATGAATACTTCTATGATAAAACACTAAAAATAAAAATTTCTTACATAGTAAATATGCTATAAAACTGTCCCGTCCACAAAACCAAATTACTCTTCTCTGCCCCTTTGCTTATCCCTTTTATAGCGCTCATCAGTCGGCCTTGCATAATGGCCCGATTTAAAGCCTCCTATTGGTTCGTAACTTAGGAAGGAGTAGGGATCAGGTCTGTCATTGTAGCATCATCCAATGCAGTCTTCCACAAATAGAGCAACCGGACAGGCAAGATACTTGATCCTAACATCAATTTCAGATACTGTCTTTTCCCTGTGAGCCTTTGAAATGTCTCAGAAATTCCAGTATTTTGGCATTCATGCTACTATCCTGCATCTCATCTAATGGCCTAGAGGACACTAGCATTATACATACACAAGTGCTTCTCAAGAAATGCTTGTTGATTTATTAGCCTTTTGGACGTTAGCCTTTTCAAGGTGCCACATGTCGAGGGTCCTGAACGGTTAATTGAATGGGAAAGACTATGGAGCAGAGCTTTTCAAGCAGAGGGTACGGTATATGCAAAGGCATGGAAGCAAGATGCATGAGAAGTCAGCACATTCAGGAAATGGGGTAGCTCTGGACGGGTAGCATTTCAGGGACTGGTGGTAAACCCAGAAGATAGACAGATGGGCAGAGATTAAGCCATGAATGACCTGATTTGTCTTACTGAGGAGTTTGGATGTTGACCTTGAAGGCAATAGGGATACCTTGAAAGACCTTTAAACAAGCAGTGCCATGATCAAATTGGAATTTCAAAAAGATTATTCTTGGCAGTGGTGTGATGGATGGATGAAGGAGGGTAGAGAAACCAGTTAAAGAGCTATTAAAACAATCCAAGTGACGAATGATGTGGGCCTGTACTGTCGCGATCAAGAGGGGGAAAGAGATTGGAGCATTTGGGTGGACGGTGACGCAGTCACTGAAATAGGTGACGGGAGGAGAAACGTGTCTGGAGAGGAGCTGAGTTCTGGACAAGTTGGGACTGGAGTATAAGTAGGACCACTAAATGGCATATTGTCATTTAGGCAGTTGGAGATGTGACAAGAGATGCAAAGATCTATTGATTTGCCACAAAAACGTTAAGAGCATTCTCCGCTTCTTCATCTGGTGCCCTTTACATGGAACACCCGTCCCAGCTCAGTCAGCCTAAGGACACCGGGGGTGTGGAGTCTGACAGTGAGATTTATTAACGTGCTCGAACCAGGGAGCCCCATGCACTGGAGCTGCTGTGGGCGTTTCACCAGCCAAGGGAAAGGAGCTATCAGAGGGTTTGGGGAAGGGTGGAGTTTAGGTGGAACTGAAATGAAGTGGTGCTTTGATAGGCTCAGAGCAAAGCAGGGCTGTGGATAAGCAGGTCGTCAACTCTGGACTGAGAAGTGGACCCAGGGTCTTCTTTTCCACAAAGATAAATGCTGCCATGTCGTCACGCTCAGAAATCCTTATGTGAAGTCCTGCACCTGAGTTGCAAATCAAGACTGCTTCTTTTTGTCAAAGTGCCTATCAGATCCTCCTCGGGCAAAAGTGGGGTGTTTCATTCTTACCGAAAGAACTTCAAAGAGCAAATTTCTGATAGTTTGATTTTAGAGAACAGAGTTTCTTGGTGAATAAGAAAGCAGCAGGGACTTTCCTGGTGGCTCAGTGGTTAAGAATCCACCGGCCAGTGCAGGGGACACAGGTTCGAGCCCTGGTCCGGGAAGATCCCATATGCCACGGACCAACTAAGCCCGTGTGCCACAACTACTGAGCCTGCGCTCTAGAGTCCACGTGCCACAATTACTGAGCCCGCGTGCCGCAACTCCTAAAGCCCGCACGCCTAGAGCCTATGCTCCACAACAAGAGAAGCCACTGCAATGAGAAGCCCGTGCACTGCAACGAAGAGTAGCCCCTGCTCGCCGCACCTAGAGAAAGCCCATGCGCAGCAAAGAAGACCCAGCACAGCCCCCCCCCCCAAAAAAAAAAAAAGCATTAGTCACTCAAAGGGGTCTCTTAGGACAGTGTGTGGCTGCGGTGTGTCCTACAGAGGAACATTAACTTTGTAGCTGGCTTTATCTGAGTCTCTTATCCCAGCTTGAGACAGGGCAGGCACAGTTTTACATTCTTAACTCAGGCTCTACTGAAATATTTAAGAATTAAATCCTAAGAAAAGCTTTTCTGCTCTGACAGTGAAAACGTGTGTGGTATCATGCCTTTGTCTTGTCTGCAAAGCAGCTCAGATGCAGATGCTATAAGGATTTGGTGGTTGGCCTTGATTTTCTACTTCTGTGATTTTACTGTTTCAGGATGTGGGGCTTTAAGATACTCCAAATTCCCTATGGCAAGGGGAGGATGTAAATAGAAATAATAAAATGAAATATTTAGTGTGTTAAAGTTTTGCCATCAGTTTACTTATTCATAGTTCATGAATATGATTTTTAACTGTGTCTATCTCCTTAAATGTATGTTTCTGGATAAGATAAACTTAATACAAATATGATGGCTAGTGAATTAAAAAACTTGTTGAACTCACAGTTGACAGGAAAAACTTGTACAATGTCTTTAAATCATGAAGTTTTTTTTTTAACATCTTTATTGGAGTATAATTGCTTTACAGTGGTGTGTTAGTGTCTGCTTTACAACAAAATGAATCAGTTATATATATACACGTGTTCCCATATCTCTTCCCTCTTGCGTCTCCCTCCCTATCCCACTCCTCCAGGCGATCACAAAGCACCGAGCTGATCTCCCAGTGCTATGCGGCTGCTTCCCACTACCTCTCTACCTTACGTTTGGTAGTGTATATATGTCCATGCCACTCTCTCACTTTGTCACAGCTTTCCCTTCCCCTCCCCATATCCTCAAGTCCATTCTCTAGTACCTCTGTGTCTTTATTCCTGTGTTACCCCTAGGTTCTTCATGACATTTTTTCCCTTAAATTCCATATATATGTGTTAGCATACAGTATTTGTCTCTCTCCTTCTGACTTACTTCACTCTGTATGACAGACTCTAGGTCTATCCACCTCATTACAAATAGCTCAATTTCGTTTCTTTTTATGGCTGAGTAATATTCCATTGTATGTATGTGCCACATCTTCTTTATCCATTCATCCGATGATGGGCACTTAGGTTGTTTCCATCTCCAGGCTATTGCAGATAGAGCTGCAATGAACATTTTGGTACATGACTCTTTTTGAATTATGGTTTTCTCAGGGTATATGCCCAGTAGTGGGATTGCTGGGTCATATGGTAGTTCTATTTGTAGTTTTTTAAGGAACTTCCATACTGTTCTCCATAGTGGCTGTACCAATTCACATTCCCACCAGCAGTGCAAGAGTGTTCCCTTTTCTCCACACCCTCTCCAGCATTTATTGTTTCTAGATTTTTTGATGATGGCCATTCTGACTGGTGTGAGATGATATCTCATTGTAGTTTTGATTTGCATTTCTCTAATGATTAATGATGTTGAGCATTCTTTCATGTGTTTGTTGGCAGTCTGTATATCTTCTTTGGAGAAATGTCTATTTAGGTCTTCTGCCCATTTTTGGATTGGGTTGTTTATTTTTTTGTTATTGAGCTGCATGAGCTGCCTGTAAATTTTAGAGATTAATCCTTTGTCAGTTGATTCATTTGCAAATATTTTCTCCCATTCTGAGGGTTGTCTTTTGGTCTTGTTTATGGTTTCCTTTGCTGTGCAAAAGCTTTGAAGTTTCATTAGGTCCCATTTGTTTATTTTTGTTTTTATTTCCATTTCTCTAGGAGGTGGGTCAAAAAGGATCTTGCTGTGATTTATGTCATAGAGTGTTCTGCCTATGTTTTCCTCTAAGAGTTTGATCGTTTCCGGCCTTACATTTAGGTCTTTAATCCATATTGAGCTTATTTTTGTGTATGGTGTTAGGGAGTGACCTAATTTCATACTTTTACATGTACCTGTCCAGTTTTCCCAGCACCACTTATTGAAGAGGCTGTCCTTTCTCCACTGTACATTCCTGCCTCCTTTATCAAAGGTAAGGTGACCATATGTGCGTGGGTTTATCTCTGGGCTTTCTATCCCGTTCCATTGATGTATCTTTCTGTTTTTGTGCCAGTACCATACTGTCTTGACTACTGTAGCTTTGTAGTATAGTCTGAAGTCAGGGAGCCTGATTCCTCCAGCTCCGTGTTTCGTTCTCAAGATTGCTTTGGCTATTCGGGGTCTTTTGTGTTTCCATACAAATTGTGAAATTTTTTGTTCTAGTTCTGTGAAAAATGCCAGTGGTAGTTTGATAGGGATTGCATTGAATCTGTAGATTGCTTTGGGTAGTAGAGTCATTTTCACAATGTTGATTCTTCCAATCCAAGAACATGGTATATCTCTCCATCTATTTGTATCATCTTTAATTTCTTTCATCAGTGTCTTATAATTTTCTGCATAAAGGTCTTTTGTCTCCTTAGGTAGGTTTATTCCTAGATACTTTATCCTTTTTGTTGCAGTGGTAAGTGGGAGTGTTTTCTTGATTTCACTTTCAGATTTTTCTTCATTAGTGTATAGGAATGCCAGAGATTTCTGTGCATTAATTTTGTATCCTGCTACTTGACCAAATTCATTGATTAGCTCTAGCAGTTTTCTGGTAGCATCTTTAGGATGCTCTATGTATAGTATCATGTCATCTGCAAACAGTGACAGCCTTACTTCTTCTTTTCCGATTTGGATTCCTTTTATTTCCTTTTCTTCTCTGATTGCTGTGGCTAAAACTTCCAAAACTGTGTTGAGTAGGAGTGGTGTGAGTGGGCCACATTGTCTTGTCCCTGATCTTAGTGGAAATGCTTTCAGTTTTTCACCATTGAGGACGATGTTGGCTGTGGGCTTGTCATATATGGCCTTTATTATGTTGAGGAAAGTTCCCTCTATGCCTACTTTCTGCAGGGTTTTTATCATAAATGGGTGTTGAATTTTGTCGAAAGCTTTCTCTGCATCTACTGAGATGATCCTATGGTTTTTCTCCTTCATTTTGTTAATATGGTTAATCACATTGATTGATTTGCGTATATTGAAGAATCCTTGCATTCCTGGAATAAACCCCACTTGATGATGGTGTATGATCCGTTTAATGTGCTTGTGGATTCTGTTTGCTAGTATTTTGTTGAGGATTTTTGCATCTATGTTCATCAGTGATATTGGCCTGTAGTTTTCTTTCTTTGTGACATCCTTGTCTGGTTTTGGTATCAGGGTGATGGTGGCCTCGTAGGATTAGTTTGGGAGTGTTCCTCCCTCTGCTATATTTTGGAAGAGTTTGAGAAGGATAGGTGTTAGCTCTTCTCTAAATGTTTGATAGAATTCGTCTGTGAAGCCATCTGGTCCTGGGCTTTTGTTTGTTGGAAGATTTTTAATCACAGTTTCAATTTCAGTGCTTGTGATTGGTCTGTTCATATTTTCTATTTCTTCCTGATTCAGCCTTGGCAGCTTGTGCATTTCTAAGAATTCGTCCATTTCTTCCAGGTTGTCCATTTTATTGGCATAGAGTTGCTTGTAGTAATCTCTCATGGTCCTTCGTATTTCTGCGGTGTCATTTGTTACTCCTCCTTTTTCGTTTCTAATTCTATTGATTTGAGTCTTCTCTGTTTTTTGCTTGATGAGTCTGGCTAATGGTTTATCAATTTTGTTCATCTTCTCAAAGAACCAGCTTTTAGTTTTATTGATCTTTGCTGTCGTTTCTTTCATTTCTTTTTCATTTAGTTCTGATCTGATTTTTATGATTTCTTTACTTCTGCTAAATTTGCGGGATTTTTTTGTTGTTGTTGTTGTTCTTCTTTCTCTAATTGCTTGAGGTGCAAGGTTAGGTTGTTTATTCGAGATGCTTCCTGTTTTTTAAGGTAGGATTGTATTGCTATAAACTTGCCTCTTAGAACTGCTTTTGCTGCGTCCCATAGATTTTGGGCCGTCGTGTCTCCATTGTCATTTGTTTCTAGGTTTTTAAAATTTTCCTCTTTGATTTCTTCAGTGACCACTTCGTTATTAAGTAGTGCTAATGTGTGGGGTTTTGTTCCTGTCTTGCTAGTTGTTTGGCATAGGATGTTCAACACTGTAGCTTGCTGGCTGTTGGGTGAATCTGGGTGCTGGTGTTGAGATGGAGATCTCTATGAGATTTTCACCATTTGATATTATGTGGAGCTGGGAGGACTCTTGTGGTCCAGTGTCCTGAAGTTGGCTCTCCCACCTCAGAGGCACAGCAGTGACTCCTGGCTGCAGCACCAAGAGCCTTTCATCCACACGGCTCAGAATAATAGAAAAAGTAGAAGGAAAGAATTAGAAGAAAGAAAGAAAGAAAGAAAGAGAGAGAGAGAGAGAGAGAGAGAGAGGGAGGGAGGGAGGGAGGGAGGAAGGAAGGAAGAAGGGAGGCAGGGAGGGAAGGAGGGAGGGAGGAAGGAAGGAGGGAAGGAAGGAAAAGAAGAAAGAATGAAGGTAAAGTAAAATAAAAAAGTAAGATAAAATATAATAAAGTCATTAAAATAAAAAAATAATTATTAAAAGAAAGAAAAAAGAAAAAAGGACGGATAGAGCCCTAGGACAAATGGTGGAAGCAAAGCTATACAGAGAAGATCTCACACAGAAGCATACACATACACACTCACAAAAAAGAGGAAAAGGGGAAAAAATCATAGATCTTGCTCTCAAAGTCCACCTCCTCAATTTGGGATGATTCGTTGTCTTTTGGGAGGTCTCAGGTCTTCTGACAGTGTTCAGTAGGTGTTCTGTAGGAGTTGTTCCACGTGTAAATGTATTTCTGGTGTATTACTTGTGGAAAAACTGCATTCCATGCTGGGCCTGGAAGTTCCAAAGCTCAGTTTTGTGAGTAAATTGCAACTAAGATTTATAAACTGCAAAAAGGGTAGTGGTTCACATGTACGTCTTTCGATAGACGGTATTTTATTGCAGGATAAATTTCCGGCCCGCCGTCCCCACGACTTCGGCTTCGGCCGCCGGGGCCCCTCCAGAACCGGCAGCCTCAGTGAGGCCGCCCTCCCTTTGGCCTCCGGGGAGTTCCGTGACGGCGGAGGGAAGAGACCCCGAGCTGCGGGAGTTCTAAATCATGAAGTCTTATGACCTGAGAGTCTTATGGACTCTGAACTTGCATAGTACTTTTCACATGTGTAAGCATATATACTTCTTGAGAAGGTGCACAGAGCACTCAAATTCTCAACAGGGTCAGTAACCCAAAAAGGGTTAGGACTCACTGGTCTGTACTCTCTTTAGAGACTCATACATAAGATGCAGTGATTCAAAATTGTTCTAAAATATAAATTACTTAGGCCACTTACATCATTTATATTGAATAATCAGTTACATTTAAATCTGTGCTTTTGTTTAAGCTGCATAGCTTGCCCTTATCTCAGACCGTTTTTTCTCAACAGATAAAATATTTTGATAAAAGAAGAGACTACTTAAAATTCAAAGAAAAATTTGAAGCAGGAGAGTTCCAGCCTCCGAAAACAGCCGCAAAGTCCTAGGCTGTTCCTGAACATTTCAGAAAGGTAGAAATTATTTTTTCTGGACATTCAAAAATGCTCTATGGGACAATAGTAGTTTGAATGATGGCAAACACCAATGCTTGTTCCATATATATAATTCTTAATTTAAATGGTCAAGTAACAAGAGTCCATTTTTCAAAAGACAGACTTGAAATAAAATGGTATGAAATATGCTTAATTGAGTAAAAAACACATATTTTAAGAAAAAAACAAAATTAAAGCTTGATATGAAAATGTGTACCTTTTTTGTTGTTGGAGGATGGGTAGTAGGCAGATACTATTATTGATAGAGATATGGATATACACTGAAAAAAATAAGATTTGCCATTGTCCTGGGAGTTAGCATTTTAACACAGACAGAAAAAAATGAGGAATGGAAGAAGGTTCAACTTAAAATATACAGGTAAAATAATAAAGACCATCTACAAAAAACCCTACCGCTAATATGGTTAATGATAAGACAATGAATGCTTTTTCCCTCAAATCAGTAACAAGGGAAGGATATCCTCACTTCTCCTATTCAACATGGTACTGGATTCCTAGCTACCTCAAAAGAAAGAAAAGCACACAAATGGGAAGGAACAAATAAAACTGGCTCTATTCATGGACAATATGATTATGTCTGTAGAAAATCCCAAAGAATCGACAAAAAGAGCACCTAGAATTAATAAGTGAATCTTAGAAAGGTGGCAGGAAACAAGGTCAGTATACAAAAGAAAATCATATTTGTGTATACCAGCAATGAACAGCTGGAATCTAAAATAAAATTTAAAATATGCCATTTACAATAGCATTAAAAAAACTAAAAATAAAAGGAATACTTAGATATAAATCTAACAGTATGTGCAGGACCTATATCCTGAGAACTACAAAACACTTGAAATCAGAGATCAACTTAATTGGGGAGAGGTACAGTGTTCATGGATTAGAAGACTCAGTGTTGTTAATTTACTGTTAAGTTCTCCCCAGTTTGTTCTGTGGGTTCAAAACAACCCCAGTCAAAATCTCAAGAGTTTTGGTAGATATTGACAAGCTGATTCTAAAATTTGTATGGAAAGTCAAAGGACCTAAGATAGCCAAAACAATTCTGAAAAGAACAAAATTGGAAGATTCATATTATATGATTTTCACGCTTATTGTAAAGCTACAGTGATTAAGATAGTATGGTATTGGCAGAAGGATAGACACATAGTTCAGTAGAACAGAACAGAGCCCAGAAATATACCCACACAGTTAGAGTCAACTGAGTTTGGACAAGGTGAAAAGGCGATTCCGTAAAGGATAATCTTTTCAGCAAATGGTGCTGGAAAAATTGGATGTCCATCCACAACAAAAAGAGCCTGGACATAAACTGCACCTCGTTAAAAAAAAAAAAAAAAACTGGAAATGGATCATAGACTTAAATGTAAAATATAAAACTATATAACTTCCAGAAGAAAATATGGAGAAATTCTGCATGATTTGGGGTTTGGAAGTGAATTTTTATAACGTCTTAACTTTTTAAAAAATTTGTTTCATTTATTTTATTTTTGGCTGCATTGGATCTCCTTTGTGGTGCATGGGCTTCTCATTGCAGTGGCTTCTCTTGTTGCAGAGCACGGGCTGTAGGCACACAGACTTCAGCAGTTGTGGCTTGCGGGCTCTAGAGCACAGGCTCAGTAGTTGTGGCGCATGGGCTTAGTAGCCCCGTGGCATCTGTGATCTTCCTGGACTAGGGATCAAACCTGTGTCCCCTGCATTGGCAGGTGGATTCTTAACCACTGTGCCACCAGGGAAGCCCTGGAAGTGAATTTTTAGATGATGACCTCAAAAGCACAATCCATAAGAGGAAAAAAAAAAGCTAAGTTGGACTTTATCAGTATTAAAAATTTCTGCTCTGTGAAAGATACAGTTAAGAGAATGAAAAGATAAATTAAAACTGGGAGAAAATATTGCAGATCACATATCTCATTAAAGAACTTGTATCCAGAATAACAAGCCCTTATTTTAAAAATAGCCCAAGTATAAAAAATAGGCAAATTACGTGAATATTTTCACAACTCTATTCATAGTGTTAGAAATAATATTATGAAAAGATGCTCCATATTATTTGTAAATTAAAACCGTGATGACTTATCACTACACACCTGTTACAGTGACTTAAATTTAAAAAAGTTGATAGTACCAAGTACTGATGAAGATGTAGAGCAACAGAAACCTGGCATTCACTGCTGGTGGGGAAAGGGGTTGACTCTGAAAGGGTTACACAAAGGAATTTTTAGCTGGAAGCTGTTTTCTATGGCACTGTTGTGGTGCATCCATGTATGCACTTGTCAAAACCCACAGGACTATACACTGTAGAGAGTGACTTTTTGTGCACATTAAAATCAAATCAACCACGGGGACTTCCCTGGTGGTCCAGTGGTTAAGACTCTGCACTCCCAATGCAGGGGGCCCGGGTTCGATCCCTGGTCGGGGAACTAAGATCCCACGTACTGCAGCAAAGCCTGCATGCCACAACTACTGAGCCCACGCGCTCTAGAGCCTTTGGGCCGCAACTAGAGAAGCTGGTGCATCTGCAGCAACGAAGAGCCCACACAGCCTAAAGAAAAAAAGAAAATATTAGTCCCATCCATCTCAAAATAAGTAAATAAATAAAAATAAAATCAACCAGGATTTTGGAGGAATTCTAGTTTGGAACGAAGAATGATAAATGAATCTAAGTATTATAAATATATGACAAACTCACTGAAAGGGATGGATAAGAAGGGGGCTGACCCACATAACTTTGAAAAATGGTGTTCTGACTGGATTCTGTAAGACTGAAGACAAAAAGAACTACACACATCGCTAAATTTCACAGGGGTGTGGTGCAGCAATTCTGAAACTACAGTCATGAGAACCAGGTTTGTGTTAGAAAAAACAGTTAAAAATAAGCAAGAGGTGCATGTTTGTTAGAATGAACCTTGTGGTGTTGGATTGGTGTCAGAGGTAGCGGGAAGAATTCCTGTTTATGTGAACATATCTGGACGTAGTACTTGTACACACATGGGCTGGTGGACACCCAGGTCCCCTAGCTCTGTCCACTGAGAGGCCTTGCAGTGACAAGTCCAGGAGCAACGAGCACATCCGGCACCCAGATCTCGATTTCTAATAGTATTCACCGATAAATGGAACCAATGATCCTTGGTGAAATGTCTGACTCTAGAACTGGTATAGAGAGAGTAAAGATGAGCCTGGAGCATTGTGTATATAAGAATGTAAGGAAGTACTTAAAAAAAAAAAAGAATGGGCATGCCAAAGGACACAAGAGCCAACCATCCACCCTGCCATAAACGGATGACTGACGAAAGGACAAGACTTCCTTACAGAGGAATTCCAAGTAATAAAGGAGCAGCATCCTGGATGCCAAAGTCAGTGCTCCTGGAACAGAAAAAGTGTTATTAGTGGGAAATGGGGAAATCTGGATATAGATCAGGATTGTAGTCTGCTTAGTGAACAGCACCATTATCAACGTTAACTTCTTAGTTTGGATAAATGTCCATGGTTATGTAAGATCCTATTAGAGGCATCTGGGTGAAGGGCCTATGGAAACGATGCACTATCTTTGCAGCTCTCCTGCAAAACAAAAATTATTTTAATAAAGCTACAGACACGCCTCCCGGGAGGAGGCACCGCCCCGCCGCGCGGAATTCTTGGTCTGGGTCTTGCTGGAGCTTGGTGGCCGCTCTATCACTAGTCTGAGTCGGGAGTGCATATATGGAACCCCAGAAATACGACTCAACAGTATGATTCAAAGCAGCGGAACGAGCAAGACCACGTCTGCGAGTCTTCACTGCAGCATGGTTTTCACTGGAAAAGTGGAAACGATCCAGAATGTTCCGCGTTAAGCCCCCAAATGGTAATCTTACAACTTGAGAACTCTCCCTGGAAAAGTGAGAGCCCAGAAACTGCTGAGCCTCCCAGTCTGTTTCCTTTCCCAGATTCATCAAGTAGGTCCTTGGGGATTACATGAGAAAATGCACGTAAAGTGCTTAGCAGGGTGCCTGGAATGCAGAAACAATGAAAGACAATGAACTTGGCATCCCCGTTGACTAGCTTGGCCCTTGCTGCAACCTGCATTCTCACTGACAGATTCCAGCAGGTTATGTCTGGAATTTGTGATGAGTGACTTCAGAAGGGCCAAGGCTTTCGGTGCTGAACCGAGGATGGT